AAACCGGGCCAGATCCTACTAGTTTCGAGTTTCTTCGCGCTTTGTTTGTATCATTACGTTTATGAAAAGTTGCTTCGTTTGTTCTCTAGCACACTTTACATTAAGGATGAAAGTCACAAACTATGTCATGCGTTTTGTGACGTTCACTTTTTAATAGTGTCTTTGTGTGACTGGCCTCATTTAGGTGAGCTGAACTTCTTCAAAGGTGGGGAAGTACCAGTCCTTTAATGGGTAATAGTCATTTAAAGAAAAACAAAGTTCATATTTAATCAACTTATTGATTGACCTGCAAGTATTAAAAAAACATGGGTGCTCACGTTTGATATTTACCTTAGCTAACTAATCAGATCTATATGTAATATCCTTGTTCATGTTAGATATTCACGTTCCTTTAGTAGCCTGACACAACGGCGATATCGTTTTTCACGTTTGATATTAATACCGATTAAGTGGTTTAACATAAACGTGGTTCATGTTGTATATTTATGGCCACTAGCTAATCTGATCTATATTCGACATTCTTGTTCGTGTTACGCGTCCATTTTCATCTAGTGACTTATGACATACGTGTTGTATATTTATGGGCACTAGCTAATCTGATCTATATACGACATTCTTGTTCATGTTACATGTTCATATTCATCTAGTGACTTAACATATACGTTATTCTTGTTTGATATTTATGGTAACTAGCTCATCTGATCTATTCGCTATTTTTGTTCATGTTACACGTCCATTTTCATCTAGTGACTTGACATAAATACTGTTCATGTTAGATTTTCTTTTTGATTTAATGATTTAACATAACCACAAAATTTTCTTAAGTTTGATTCTTAAGCTAACTTACTGATCTGTTCCCCTGTAACGTGATAGCTGTAACTTTCAACCACAGCAAGGGTGTTGTTTTTTGTTGCCATTATTTTACAATGGAATCAACACTTTTGAGGTCCTGCCCTTTGGATACAGTTTTATATATGTGTATGTAAATAACTTCTCTAAACAAACTGTTGGTGCGTTAGAAACATGACAGGTTATAATTATGAAAATTATGTGTACTGAATACAATTATATCTTCTTTCCAAGTTCTAGTAAGTTCCTGAAGGGTTATGAAGTGTGAACAATATTTGTTGAGTCATAATTAAAAAACAAATTTATTTTACTAGAAAACATTAATATAGACTTAATCTAAGAATTTTTTAAGAAACGACGCTGTTCATTAGCAGATGTTAGTACAATATTCTGTGGAAAACCGAATGTACGGTTATTAAACCGGATAGAATTAATGTTAAGTTTTCAAAATATTAACTTTGAGATAAGCGCTGCTACTAACCCCATCATTCACCCACATATAGACTAAGACGTGTTGAGAACAACACGGCAACACAAAGTAGCTAGCTGTCTCTAGGGCAGCAAGTGCAATGAATCATCACAATATGTATGAAAATATTTCTAGCCACACCATTTAATTGGTTCAAACGGGTTTTCAATAAGAAAGCTGAGAATAGGAAAAGATGTAACTTTAGAAAATTAGGGTAATCGAATATATTACAACAGCAGAAAAATATTTAGTTTTCATGTTCTGTAAAATTACTTACTTTTCTACTGACTGAAACCATCGTTAAAACCAAATACATCTTCTTTTTTTTTGTAGACGCCTTCAGGTCCATTTCAGAAGAAAAACAAAAAACATAGGTCTTTTAATAGGAGGTCAGTAAGGACCTGAGCAACTGCCAGTTTCTGAAAGTTCTTTATGAATACTACTGGTTAAAGCCCGGATGTTAGGTTTAGATAAAACAGGTTTTACCGCCTTTTAGCTCTCTGAAGCCATGTCTTAGTTCCAGGTCATTCAACTAATGACGCCACTTGGTTTTTGTGGTAAAAAGTGAATTCAGAGAAATTAAAGTTCCACCTTCACTAGTTTAAAAAGAAAGCTATGTAACTGATTTAAACTTTTCACATTATTATTATACGCTATTTAATCAATCATGCGCATTCGTCATCAAGTTTCAATTTCTACGTCTAGTTGTATGTAAAAATGAGTATAAAAACTGCCAGAATCTGGAACAGTTTCACGACGGTTTTTATCTCTGATCACAATAAGGCTGCACTGTAAGCTTAAAAGTAGCAAAAATAACACGCGATTCAATAATTCAAGTACACATTAACTCGCTGGTTTCGTATAAATATAAAGCTGTTTGACTGTACGAAAACGAATATATATTTATATATTCTTTGTATGTCGAATAAAGTCTTGGGAAGCTAAAAACAAATAACAGTTGTATGGGA